AGTCTTCTCCTTTAGTTAATTTCACCAATTCCAATGAACATGATTGCCTTCCAGCACCTCTGTTAGACCAGTAGCATAGAAAATCTAGTGCGTGAGTTCACACTCACCACGGCTGACACATTAGTAATCCGTATTCTCTTAGTTCTGTCTAGCCGTCTTCTTCTTTCCCTTGGCCAAAAATACTCACCACATCGGGTCATGTATTTGTTTGGACCGACAGTAAAATTTACCTCGACTACAATCCATGCCCATGGTACTTTTGCCAACGTATGAAAGGCCAATTAATTGCCACAGAGAAATTACATACTCCTCTTCCATACGTTTACACACGTGTTCAATGAGATTCCTTTTAGATGGTTAGCAGTGTCAGAGCCTTAAGGAATTTGAGCAATTGGCGCAAGGATGGATGGTTGGATGGATGTAAATGGGATGGATGGTGATGCGGATGGATACGAAGTGTATAGATAAATAGTGCTTTTATTATTGACACTGAATGATGGACTTAAGATATGCAAGGAGGAAAGTACTTTGCTTCACCCTTTCAATTAATGACTGTGATGCCAGATATGCTACCGTAAGCGTAAAGAAAAATTACCCCTAATTTTTACATTCTCTTGCTCCATTATCGACACTCAGCTTTGCAGAACCACTTCCACCCAATTCGATCCGCTTGTGCCGATTCGTCAATGAGTTTGAAAAGTATTACCAACCAATTGCGTCGACCTATCTACATGCACATGTACGTGGAATATTTTAAGGTCTTAAACCCTACCCGATGCATTTTTTATGTTAGGATCACATTTCCACTGGTCACACAGTAGCACGGTTTATCGAATTCACCATCTGTTTCCAGTTGATAGTAAAACTTTGCCAAGTTTTATTCATCTTGTTATGCTGCAGAGGCCGATATCTGTGTCAGTAGAGCAAGCACTACTTGGTGCTTGGATTGGCAGAGGAGTGGACAGTGAGATCGCCTTTCTGCTCGGCTTACAAAGCGTAAGGCATTCCTCGTACCCTACACCTCTAATTGCCATGAAGTGATCGAACCACCCGGCAGGTCTCCTATTCTTGCTAATTGAGTGGCCAAGTCTGTAGATACTCCTATTTGCGACGTAGATAGGCAAAAGGCCAGAGTAAATTAATTGTTTTTAGTTTTATCGGCCTAAAATACTCTGCATACGCTTTTGTGGGTTGACATAACTTAGCCAGTTTTCTCTTGAGAAGAAACCTTTCTTTCTTTTTTTCTTTGTTTCTTCGAGTGCCTCCTTTCTCCACTTGGAGCAATCAAACACGACCACCGTAAATTTTCACTTTAATTTGTCAATTTGCATGGCAAGTCTTCACCACTTCACCCCTCCAATCGGCACATACACTTGACCAAAGGGAAAAAGTATTCGTCTAAACTTCTCCACTTCCTGGAGCACTTCTACCCTCCTCAACCTATTCGGGGCATGATGTTATCTTTACTTA